AATTTGGATTCGGTGTCCGTTTATCTTTGATTTCAAACCTTCTGCATAGTTTGAAATAAAAGTATATTGCTTTGAACTCGAATACGTGCGACGCTGAAGGTGAATCCCAAAATAGAAGTCAACTTGCTAAATAGGATAGCTCTAGAGATCGACTAAACCCATAGATCGTGTGGAGATGGGAAGGGGTGCTGATATTCTCGCCTAGTTTCGCAGGGTCTCCGACGAGTGGCATCGAGGTTTCCCTCTTTACTCTTTTCGCTAGAGATCTCTCAACTTTACAATGTGGAATGAATGTCACGTGAACAAAAGCTGAGAAGCAATGAGAGTTGATGTGCGTGGGTAGTAGAGGGTACAATTTGTTGAATCTACTGAAATTTTAAGAGCATCTGACATCCCCCGACAGATGTATTTGTATCTGTTGGCAGCTCCATATGTTTATTTGAAAGGTCTCTTCAACTCTACCACAGTCAGCCTGTTCTCAGCATTTTGTCTTTGTGAGTGTGATCGAGCGGTCAATTTTCAAAACTGACAGACTCACTAAGTTTTTTACGCTTCTAATGATTTAAAAGTATTTTTCAGATTCACAAGAAGAACAATCAAACTCGTAAGACCGTTCTTTCCACTGTGATCATGATGAAAGAGAACTGGAGCTCAAGGAAGAGAACGATATTCTTGACTAGAACTATGAGCATGGTAGTTTACAAGGAGCCTCGAAACGGTGAGTTTACTCCACCACTGAGCTACTCAACATTTACTCACAAGCATGCTCCTCACAACCGGAGTTGGCAACTCGCATTCGTCGTACTTACGACGGTGCGTTGAAGCTCCACCGTCGAGTTCCCGCTGAATTTTGGATAAATTCGAATGATAACGGAAGGTATCTTAACGGATTGAAGGTTGCGGTATATGGTGGGCCCTGAAGCAAATGATTGAGTTCACAAACTCTTGTAAACTCAATCGTTAACTTCAACGTTGAGATAAGTAAATTTTATTTTTATTTTACAATTGAGAGTGGACATTAATTTACGCACTATGCGCAAGAATTAAAAGTGATATGCAAACACAGGATGATGAATATGCATCAAAATATTTTTTTGTTGCATATTAACATCCTGTCTGTAGCAAAACCCAAATTTGATGGACACTGATTCGTCGTCCACTTTCACAACTGCATGTTTTAATATGTGCATCTCTAACCAAACTAATTTTGCCACCCCACTTCACAAAAGAGACATTCGATCATTCCCGTACTGCTCAGGAGTTCAAAGAAATAACCCAGTATGGTGGAATCTATTTTAGACATCCAGATTACCGACAGAACAAAAGCTAGAACTTGAGACCACAGTGCAAGCCAGAGCTTCTAAGAACTTCCGATGAAACTCCCTACATTGTTCTTTTAAAATTTGTAAAATATAACTTCACTTCCTTTATGCATACTGCTGTTGAAGAATACACCTTCGGAAGTTTCTGAATGTTTTTGTAAGATCCGCAAACAAACTCAGTGATATTCTCAGTTTTGAAAATCGACCGTTCGATGTGTCTCACATAGACAGAGTTTTGAAGTTCAGGCTAAATGAAGTCGAAGTGTAAAGACTTTTAAAAAAGATGAAACGGAGCTGGCAACGGACAAAATGATCATCAGTCCTGAGTTGCTAGATGCTCCATAAGTTCAGTGGATTGGACATCTTCACTCTTTTACTCCCCATGCACATCAGAGCCTTTTGCTTACAAGACATTCATTCATTCCTCTTGACTCCTGCATTAGGCAATAGTGCGAAGTTGACAAATCTTTTGAGGTAAAAGTAAAACCCCGAACAAGCTGCACGCAAATTGCTGTGCTCAGAGACCTGGAGATCGATCAGATTCATAGTTCACTGGAGATTTTCGGAGCGCCAGTGTGGAAAGTTGCAGCAGAAATAGGAGAAGGTCAACCTGTTTCTCCCAAGATGCTGCTGGCAGAAGACCCGATGAAACGAGGTGCAAATATCAACGCCTTTTCTCATCTCCAGACCATCAAAGGCCCCTTAGTCGATCTCCAGAGCGACTCGCCTTTTGACACTCTGTCATCTAAGGCTCCTTGGTCGATCTCCAGAGCGACTCGCTTTTTGACATTCTGTTCTTATTTGCACTGTGGTTCTTCCTGCTTAGCATCACGATTATTTTTCTGATAGTCGACATTTGTTTTCCGCTTGACAGAAGATCATCAAGGGGACACTCTGAAAACGCAAAAATTGAAGCAGAGATTTCCAATCGCACTCGCAATCATCACCTCACATTTGCACTTCAGTTTTGATGAATTATTCGTTTTTATGTTTAGCTAGTAGAGGCTCTATGGGCGCCTCACCCAGATTCGGTAGGAGCCGGTCAACTCCTAACAGCGGGTTGTGCATAAGAGGCATTCCCAGATCTGGTTGGCTCAATGACCGTAAGAAGTCATTGCCTCAATCAGAGGAGTCTAACTTCAGTCTGGCTTTTGGCCGGGTCAGGCTGAATAGAGAAGCTAAAAGTTTTACATTAACTTATAATTCTGAAAATTCTTACTTAAACACAAGTTTTTTTTTCCATGTTTTTGCAGAAATAACGTTACTTTTAGCATCACGTTGTTCCGAAAAAAGCTAAGTCGACACCTCTCTTTGTTTTTTTCTGATTCAATTGATATTTTACAATCTGGCTGCAGTTGTCATAATTTGGCATTTAATAAAAGTACATGTACTCAGCTTTTGTCCAATATACTTTATTCTGACGAAATTGTTTCAATGGTGAACTGCAGCGAGGCCTACGAACTATACAAAATCTGCACTGTCATTGGCCCACCAAATCATCATCCATGGTCGGATGGCATGAACCTCGCCGCATCCATGAACATACAGTTCCCTCAGGTTTGTCTTGGCTACCCGCCCAAGTGTTTTAGTAGATTCGTTTATATATTTTGTACCAAGTGGTGAGTAGACGTCATGGTCTGTGTTTTTGGGTAGTTATGTTACATGTGTCGTAGTACTAACTCTCGCATTGTCCCTCTCAGTGCACTTCTTCACATCTATCCGCTTTTATACCGACTGCAATTGCTGAAGCAATCGGTCTGATGTCGGTGAGTCTCTTCATCAAGCCGTTGTTGTACTTATATGGACTTGCGTAGGTTACTACTCTCAACCTCCCTAGATAAAGATTACGGAACGAAGGCGCTTGAAAACTTCTTCATGGTTTGATAGAAACTTTGATCTGTTTGTCACAGGCCATGTGTTCTTGGGATCCCAACAAGAGGCCAACTGCTGCACAAGCCCTGCAGCATCCCTTCTTTCAGGTCTGTCCAAATTCGATATCATGTACTTCATTTTTAACTTTATGGATCTGTAGTCCTTTCTAACTTTTGTGATCTGGAGTATATGTCGATGCTGATATACTGGGTTGACTTACAGGTTGCATGCCTATTCCATCCTCGATCCCTAACGGGAGAGAGTCACTGAAGACACTCGTCCCTTCAACCCACGAGGTTTATGAGTGAGGCAAAAAGCTACTCTGAGAAAGAGATGCCTGAGCGCAGTAGTGAGGAAAAGCCTTTTATGGATGATTTGAACGCGATGCCTGCAGCAGAGAAGTATAACTTACGTGCCACTGCTCTGCCGAAAGCGAACGGGTCAAAGTGAGCTCCGGTGCGGCCTTCTTGCAATAAACTCAACTATCAAGATAGTTGAGTTTCATGAATAGAGTGTGTTCCGCATGACTCATCACGTATACTGTATTGTAGACTTTTACCAGTTAATTTCGATTTCATCAAACTCGAAAAGGCCATTCTTTTGATGACTCCTTCTTCCCTCACGACAGGAAGTGAGCCCATCTTTGTTCCTCGGCAGCAATGTCAGGCAGGCTCGATAGCGACCCATGTCCAGCCCTCAACGTGAGTTTGTAGAGAAGCAGGATGCTGCCAAGTGGGATTAAGTACTTGTACATATCGATTAAATAGTACGATCCGGTGTTGACTAGTGGTTGAACTCTGAGTTCCAATATCTTACTGCTGAATAGTGTGTAATCAACACTCTAGTAGATTGGAATCACGGTTATGATTCCAATCTATCCACAGTAGCGTTTGCTGTTTTCTACGTCATGTGCTTGAAGCATACTGATCTATTATTTGCTGGGAATTTAGAATTTCGCGAAGACTCTAATGACTGTTTTTACATGACAGCTTTACCGGCACTAGTATCACCTGGACCATTCCCTAATGCTGCACCATTGTGCCTGTTTTTACTACTCGGTAACTTTGTTTTTGCGGGCCGGGCCGAAAGTACTAACCATGAACTTAGTAGCTTCGGTTCGATATATCCTGCAGGATGAAGGGACGTCTCCGAAGACAAAGAGCTCGCGAAAGACGCGGGGTGGACTGATGCCAGTTTGTGAAGTTTAAACACTACGCATAAGAGGAACATAGAAGTTTGCCATATTTGTAAACGTCAATGTGATTTTACTCTTTTTCTCTTTGTGAAAAAGATAATGTGTCAGGCACTCTATGATCTATGTAGCAGGCCTGAAACCAGCTTTGTTTCAGGTCAGCTAAAGAGACTCCAATCTCTGCAGAAGTATTGTGATGATTTGTGAACTAGATGTGCGTATGCAGCGTCATGTCCTCCTTACCTGATAACGGAGACATTGGAATCCCCTGGTTTAGAATAAAAACGTTGTCTGACTCGAGGATAGGGTTATTAAGTAGAAAATACTGTCCCTGCATGCAAATACTGAAAATTGCGTATGTAATCGCGATTTCGAAAAGGTTCAACGAGATGGCTTTGCCTGACTAATTTCGAAGAGGAGACTAATGATCACAAAATACAAGTAAGAAAAAACTTGTACCACCCTAAACTTGAATTGATTAATTTCACTACCGTCAATGATGGAAGGGACGTGCCAGCTGGCCATTCCAGCACATCAACAGCCTACATTCCATCCGACTGACTGATCCTGATGATTACTGTCTTGAAAGCAACTTCTACAACTTCTTGCCATGGCTTGATTGCTAAATCAAGGTTAAACGTCTCAACTTTTTGATATGTGTACGTAAAGAACAGCATCAAATGGACACCAAAATGGTAACATTCTGAAGAGCAAAGATGATCGAAAAGTTTCAATGAGAGGGGAAAAATCCTTGATTTCTAACCACGGTGGGAGGTTCTACGTCTGATAAAGCCGAGCAGCCGTGGATCCCATTCTCCGAAAAGTGAACGCATTGTCCTCAGTATCAGAGTCTGTAGTCACCTTTTCACCCTGCACACAATTATTAGGTGTTTCTAACTGACACAATCCTTCGTCACCAGCGTTTTCTTCATCCCCGCCACCTGTACAGAACTCCCCATGTTTACGTTAGAATGTCAAAAGTTCAGCATCCTCCTTGACCTGTCATCTAAAATCCGTCATCTAAAATCTGCACTGATGTGTAGATCCTACCGTTTTGAGCAGATGGCTGTCCCGACAGGTATTTCTTCATTTCCGTGAAGCGTTTACGTTCACCTCATGCGTTTACGTCCTCTCGTTCCTGCGCAACTCCTTCTGAATGTTCTTCATCTTTGATCTGTAAGAGAGTCATAGACCAGATACATCAGATGCAGCACATGCTCTAAAGAGCAACATAGGACTGAGAAATATAGCACGCAAGGAGTGAACCGCACGTGTGAAACCTTTTAAGGACAAAATAATATTAAGCTACACTATCCTCTTACAAACCAACTCGTCCACCACTAAATGTGGCCACTGTACTGTAGGTGTTTTCTAGGCGGAAAGAACCTACCGACTTGTCAAGGACCCACATGATAAAAAGGTCAATTTCGGGATGTTGTTACTTCGGATCCATCTGCATCATTTCACGTCAGGACGATCACGAGGTTGATAAAGGACTGCAACAAGCGTGTTCGTTGATATATTGCGTGTTTGTATATCTTATATTATATATAAAAATTGGCCAATTTGGATCTATTGTATATACACGTGTTTACAACATCATTCTATATTGTAGTTACCAATTTACAAGGTATAGGTTCAATCTGTAACCAGCAATATGGTGGTCTCTATATGTGAAAATTTACTGAAATTTTTCTCACTTGAAGTATGCCTTGCAATTGATTGATTATTATTGATTGATTATACCTCTGTTTAGTCGACGGTAACATGTTTTAAGTTGCATATGATGATTCTCTCCCAAACCTACGTCAAATATTGCCTAGCACAACTTGTTAAGAGGGACAGCGGAAGAGCAAGCAGGAGAGACAGGATGTCAAAGAACTTGGAGGAAGCCATTCGAGTTAAAAGCAGTATGAAAGAAGGTGACTCTCGTAACACGTCGTACACCTGGATCCGTATATTCAAAGTAGATGTACACTTGAAAGATTGTATAAACTTAAAAAGAAGAAAACACTATCACTTTTCCCAAGAATAAACAAGAAACGCGTCTCCTAGCTTCGACTCTCTTGGGGTTGGAGAGAAGTCCAGAGGCTGTAATCGGCTCAAAATGTGGACGGCCATCCACTCCTATAAAAAGTGCATCTCAAGCTTCACTTGATGGTTTTCTCGCTAGGATTATCATCAAGTTTTGTGGGGTTCGTTTATTTACTGATTTGCACACCGGTTCATACAATCCGGAAAGAAGTTATTTTTCCTTAGCTAAGAACAAGTAATTGGAATACCGTGCAATAGATATCCCTCGATATCATTCCACAGAGCTGAGCAACAAGTAAAAGAACAACTGAGCAAAGAACTTAAGGAAATGGACCCCTGACATCTGACAGAATTGGATACGTGTCAGTATGTACAGTATGTTAAGATCCTTCATAAAACCCAAACGCAATGTATGAAATATGACAGTGAGTCACGTGCGAGGAGCCAAAGCACACAATGTAACGACAATGAATGTTTAAATTGGAAAAGTTACATCAAACAAATAGAATGTTTCTCACGATATAATTGATACATGAATTGAAAACAAAAATTTGCATATTTGCTTATAAGGATATAATCTTATCTTGTCACTAAAATCATCATGTGTTAGGTGCTGACAAACAAGACATTTGATATTTTCAATATGAAATGAATGTGAATAACTAAACTAAACTAACTCTAAACTCCATGTATGGTTATTGTCACTAGAGAACCCTTCGATCTACTACATCATCAAACTTATTTTCTCATGTATTCATCATCCTCTCTTTCTATATCACTCTTTATTCTTGTGGATACTGCAATACGTGTACTAAAAAGTGTATATAAATTTGCACTCATAGAAAATATGAAAAAAAGTCATTTACTAGTCTCAACGTTTGAAGTAGTTAATTTTACAAGAGATTCTGAACTCATTGACTGCAGGACTCACCATATTCCGCAGCCTTCAATCCGTTAGCTTACCTTCGGTTATCATTCAAATTTTTGCAAAATTCAAATCCAACTCGACGGTGGATCCTCAACGCATCGTCCTATTTACGACGAATGCGAGTTGAGTGAGCGTTTCTTAGCTCAGTGCTGTAGTAAACTCATGGAGAGTGGATACTGCTAAACTACCGTGCTCATGGTTCTAGTCAAGAATATTGTGTAATTCATGAGTTCCAGTTCTCGTTCATCATGGTCTCTTTGGAACGAACGGTGTTACGGGTAGGATTGTCCTTGTTGTGACTCTGAGCGTTTTTGTCTGAAGTGCGAAAAACTTAGTGAGTCTCTTAGTTCTGAAAATTGACCGTTCGATCAAACTCACGGTAGAGTTGAAGAGACCGTTCATATCAACAAAGGGAGCTGCCAACGGATGTAAATACATCCGTTTGTAGCTGCCGGATGCTCTACAAAATCCAGTAGATTCAACAGTCTGACCCTTTTACTTCCGATGCACATCAACTCTCATTACCTCCCAGCATTACGCAGGCTTGCTTGTTTTGCCAGTGGATTAAGTGTCTTGTGAGCAGAAGCTCACAAGACATTCATTCCACTGGAAGCCTGCGTAATGCCATTAAAGTTGAGTAAATAGAGTAACGCGGTACACTCTATCTCTCAAGATGTAACTCGTCGTAGACGCTGCGAAACAACTTGTGAATATCAGCACCCCTCGCATCTCTACACGATCAATGGCATCTCGGTCTATCTCTAGCGCTACCTTCAGCGTCACGACTGTATTTTTGGCCGTATCCTTTTTCTTTTTCTGCGAAACAAGTGGCTCACGGGAAGACATTTATCGGTTCGCCAAAACGCAAGGAATGGAGATTCACCACTTTTTCATCACGCAGACACGGGAGAGATCTGGTCAAGCACAGCGTTCCAGCTCTTCTAGCTTCGAGCCGGAAGAGCTGGTGCCAGCAATGCACCCATTATGAAGTCTTTGACTTCATGAGCTTGTTTCGTGAATCCCCCAAATATTGCAGATTAGAAGAATAATGGGATCGCAGATCGAACGAGAAGCCATGGATCGTGTGGAGATGGAAAGGGGTGCTTATATTCACACCTAGTTTCGCAGTCTCCAATCAATCTCCACTAACTACTGGATTTTAAGATTAGCAGTGTGAGAAAATAGATTTGAAGGTGGTCGAGGTGGCTAAGATAGTAAGATAACGCTAGTACGTGAGGACGCAACATCTCACTCCAGTCTTTCCATCGCACATCACAAGGATGCACACACAGAAAGCGTTTGCCATTCATCAAGGCCTAGCTCACAACCCAAGGCGCATTGCTTTTTCAGCTCGAGCCATGAATAGCGAATCTTGGGAGACGTATCGGCGGAACGACAGAAACCAATTTTGTTCGTTAAGCTAAAGCTGCGGATATAATAACTAGAAGTTCATCCTGTACAGCAACTCCGTTTTGTTTTCAGCTCAGCCAAGACAGAATCTTCGTTTTAATTGCTGAACTTGAAAATGTGGGACGAATATATTGAATGTAGTATATTATATACTGTATATATATACTTCCTGCAATTCCAAATATTACCGCCGCCGCGAAGGAAAGACCGTTATGGCTTCACAAGCTGTGACAACAACCACTCGTAATTACAATTCCCCGATAGTATTCAAGTTGTAAGATTTTGGTTTGAACAAGATACTGATTTGTCGATTCGTACCTGTAAGTGGGCTGAGAAATATACAATCTTTCATTCTATGATCTTCCTTGGAGCCAAGGGTTAGAGTCATACATGGATGGTATCATATCTACCACTCCATCCCACAACCTTTCCTTGTTGAGTCGAGATCATCCTCAAATTCCTCGGAACTTGGCAGGTCATCAGTGCTTAGTTTTCCATGAGGCAGCAGACGACGAGTGATGATGAAGTAGCTTATCTTTGCAGAAACATGGGTTGGCACTGCAATGATATCTTCGAATTCAACGGCAAGGGAAAAGAACGATATTTGGATGGTTTCGACGTGAGTGATACTTTTGTTTGAGATGAAATACGAGGTTCATAGCTTTTACAAATTTACTGTTGTACTAGCGTTACTGATCATTTGGAACGAATCAAATCGAAACGGCCTTGAATTGTGATGACGCTCACATAAGATATGACGAGTGCAATATCGACTCCAATAATTTAGCTCACGACTATAATTCTGATATTCGACATTTGTTTTCGGCTTGAAAGAAGAGGCTCAAGGGGACACTCTGAAGACGCAGAAATTGAAGCGGAAATTTCCAATCGCACTCGCAATCATCGGTCCGGCCATATGCAAGCAATGGAGAGTCACCACAAAGTCGATGAAGAGACACGCAATAGAGCTGGTGCGAGCCATTTACAACCGGAGGAGACTTCATCGTCTCCGAGCTCATTGATATCCTCGTCAGCTGGTGAAAGGAAATGGAATCTCCAGATTGGAAGTCGCTATTCCTCATTCATGATCGCATCACCACCATCAGGAGATCATAAATGCGACAGAGCTTTTAGTAACTTGCTCCGAGTGGAAGCCTTTCTGAATTCTCGGTGTAGGATCTTCGGATTTGGACGATTGATATCTAAGAAAGGTGATTTAATCGAAGACAAGTTAACCAGATATTGAGAAAGATGTCAAAAAGTACACATTCGGTACTACAGTTGTTTAACAAGAACGTAAGAAATTATACATTAGTCATTCGATATATTGAAGGCAGTGCATACAAAGTTCAAAGGATTGAAACCTGCACGATGTATTCTGCTTTAGTTGTCTTTGTCAAACCATACCATAATCTGTATTCATGTACCACATTCAGGTTACAAAAATTGATTGACTATTTGATTTCTCTTTCTCTTCATGTGATGAATCACATGCAATTGAGCATGAAACACTACTGACTACATAGCCTTGTTGATTTTTTTGGTTATTAAATCTACCACTTGGTTCAAAAACTAGTATCATTGGCTGACTAAATCATAGTCGCAAGTTTACATATGCCTTTCCGAGATTCTACAGCAAAAGTTTTACAAATCCATGTGGAATTCTATGGTTTCTATAAACATTATACGTTTATGATTATGTTTTCCAAATCAAGTAAAATACTTCACTCGAATGGTATGTAAAACATGCAGTTTACGTCTGAAGAGCCCTAAATATGACTTCCATCGATAAAAGAGAGCGA